AGCTTAAGGTATGTCTAGTTAGTGATTCATCACATATAATAGAAGCGCAAAAAGGATGCACCGACGGACAGGTTAAAGGAACACGAACATCGCGTAGCGTTGGACGCGTTGTTTCCTCTTCCTCGCTTTGGCGACGAGAGCACAGTGGCGCAGTCAAGTGCGAAGAGGAGGAGGATAAAAACGGAGCAATGACGACACAGTAGCGGAGCACCCGTAACCTTTCCAAGCGTCACCAAAGGATGCTTAGAAATACAAACGTCTAGAGGCAATATTTGTGATTTAGGAGCATAAAGCTGACGCATATTTCCGAGATACATGTTGGTGCTGACCCAATCGTGAGTGCTTATTCACAAAGAGAACAAGGCTCACAAGACTGGAGTAGCCGTTTCATTTTCCAAATACTCCGCTCCAGTAGCCGCACTATGAGAGGTAAATTGATATCCAAAATGTGGCATAAAATATCCCAGAAATTTAGTTTTTAGTCTGACAATTTCGAAATATAAGTGAGCAGGTTATGCTTCCTTATGTACAAAAAACAAAAGTCCCTAATATATTGTGTCATACGATCTAGCGGGTGTTGTGGAAAGTTTTGATGAAAAGCGTTTCCAGTGCCCATCGCTTCATTGAAGACATCCGTTCACATTACTGGTGTAGCGCCAATTTGTCTCTGTAAATTGCTACAATCGTATAAATCAGTGTGTCGAACCGAAAAAAATACGGGTTCGGTTACGGTTCAGGTTCAGGTAAATTTATTTTGTTCCGGTTCAGTTCCGGTTCGATTAATTCGATCCGCGAACCGGTTCGCGAACCGGTTCGGGGCGCTGAACCGGTTCGCGAACCGGTTCGGAAATTATAAATGGCAAATTGCAACATCAAAATAAATTACAAATAAAACATCTGAAATCAGCACATACGAAACGGGATACATCGTAGTGTAAGGCTCAGGGATTTCTACCAGGAATGGTTTCTTTATGCGCACTCAAAGGTTACCTCACCGACGTTTACGCATTCGGACTTCATCTAATTGGGTCCGACGCAGTAGCTGTAAAATCCGCGATCTCCTTACAAACCCACTTACAAGTAGAACTCGCTAACTATCTCGCCACCTCGGCGTGTAAGCAATTGAAGGTACAGTGGGGAGAAAATACAGCTTTCTTTATTTGAACTAGCCTGCGGTAACTCTCAAATTAGACCCTTAAAGAAGTTTTCATTAGGACGTAATAGGATACATATTAAAATAGAAGAGTTCGCTGTCTCACAAATATGTTAGCTTCTAAGTGCCTATACGAAACTGGATGCATTATTATCAAACTCCACAGCCTTTTCTTTTCTCATTTCGATGGAAGCAAGCTTTAAGAACTCGCGCGTTCTAGAAACGTGTTATGTAATGAGCACACATCAGGATTTAGGATTTACGAGATTGTAGGAAAATGAAATCCCCTTGACGCGATTTTTTTTTTGGCACAGACTTCCGATTCTGATTTTTCCGTGCAAGCCGCGACCAGCGCAATACTGGTTCCTATGTCAAGATTCATGGATGCAGCGTTTGTCAAGATTCATGGATGCAGCGTTTATATTCCTAAGACTGAGTGGAGAAGAAAAATATGTAAGCGAGGTGTGTGTCAGTTGACGGCACTTAAAAAACAAATGGCATTGATAGCACATTCATTGTCAACAGCGCGTGCCCGAACCGTTTTGACATGAGTCGGTAACCGTTATTTTTTTTTTCCGGTTCAGTTCCGGTTCGGGTTCATCGCGATAACAATATAACGGTTCGGGTTCGGGTTCAGTTCCGGAAAAAATACCGGTTTGGTTCCGGTTTTCGGTTCGGTTCGGTTCCGGTTCGACACCCTGGTATAAATAAAGCTACATTAAGTTTTCTTCAAATCACGATTTAGTTCTACGATGTTGAAGGATGTGCTGGTACTTTATTCCTTTAACGTGAGTTTTACGTGCAAACGGAGAGCTATGCTGAGTGCCGTAGCTCGGAAGCATCCTTCTGGAAGAGCCAGTAGCATCGGCCGACGAAAAGTCCAACGAGCATTAGGATACGGAGGGCAAGAGCAGGTCGCTCGTCGAAGAGGAACCAGACGCTCTTGGCGATCCGTCCGCGTTAGATGTTGGGCTTGCTTTCCTCAGTGGTAGGAATAATGAGTCAATTCTAGAACACTTGCTTCTTTGGCCAGGCGAATCGGCCGGCTGAAAATATACATTGTATAGCTCTTAAATGTAGATTACCACTTAGAATAATCCAAATATAAAAGTGAATAAACTGTACTGATCGAATGAAATGAGGAATAAATAAGTGCAGAATAGCAAATAAAAAAATGCACTCACTTGGAAAGCACGCTGTAGGTATTTTTGGAAAACAAAGAAAATATTACTTACCATTAGTATTCACTGCCACTTCAGATGGAAGAGCCGCCGTCCGCCTGTTTTGTGGTCTTTCTTGAACTACCGTTGTTTTCGAACCGAGCGGGTGTCCCTGCTCCTAAAGGGGCGACTTGGGCCAGGCAAAGGACCGGAATGCGGCAGGCCGTTCGGAGCCAAGGGCCAAGGGCCTCTTTATACTCTCTTCACTTTGGCGAAGTTACATTTTAGGGAGCACACAGGTCCCAGTAAGTCTGCTCTTTTAAACGTTCACATTTCTCTATGTCCCTATGTGAAAACATCGTCAGCCAAAGTCGGCGACCAATGCTTGCAGATTTGCAGTTGCAAAAACATTCAGGCTCCACATCAGTAGCTTTTCACAGCTGCACACACGCACGCACAGAGAGACACAAAACCTCTGAAAGGCACGTCGTCAGCTTCCCCGCTGTAGCGTTGGGCGGTTCGTGGACGGCTTTCAGAGCACGACCATCGCGGGCAGAGTCTCGTGAGGAACTGATTTATTCGGACCGAACACAGAAGAGGAAAATAAAGAAGATGTATTGAAGAATAACGCGATAGATTGGACAACACAAAGAAGAAGAGGTGAAAGATACACACAGTAGGACACAACACCCGCCTATGTCGATTGGAGACGAGGTATTTTAGTAATCCCCGACCGCAAGTACTTACTGTTTTGTGAACCTTCTTTCGACGGTGAAACGAGCCACCGCACTCGAGATCTCATAACTGGACAGCCAGTTGCACTGGTAGACAATATAAGCTCCTGCGCTTGCCCTCCCTTTCTTGCAGCGGTTCATTTCTGGATTATCCCCGCAGACTACCGTTCTCAGGGAAAAGTCGGGACGGTCCGTTGCCTACCCCCGAATTCCTGTCATTTGTGTCGACACGACGCCGCGATACTGAACGAACATAAGTGCCGTGAGATGGCTGCATCTGCAGCACTCCGACTGTCAAGCGGGCTGAGCTTTTTTCTCAGAGCTCCAGGTTTCAGCTAGTTGTCGCCCGAACACAAGACGATAGCCAGCAAGTCCGCACTTTTCCTTCGCTTCCTAACCCCCGAGGCTTGAAGAGAATGGCACTCCGCCAATTATGTTCACATGCTTGTCTATAAATAAGTGGGGTTGTCGCGATATCTAGAGAGCGTGTAGTCAATCAGAATATAATACTGATATATTTTATCCTCTCGAGTGAGCCTACCAAGAATGGCAAATGGTCGTCTTAAAGGAGTACTTCAACAAAAGTTTAAATATACCCGTCGTGTTCAGAAATAGGCTGAATTTGATCCACGATATCTGTAACTGACAATGGCAAGTTTGTATGCTGAGGCTGATGGCTGTATTTTTCGTTATTAACGGCCCAGTCTTTCAAGCGCTGGGAGAACAGCCAGCAGAGAGCACGTCACATATCCGGCACAATAGTGACGTAGTTGTTCTCGGGATGAGCAAACCCGAGACGGGGCTGATGTCGTTAGGATTCCCTAGCCCAGTGGTTCTCAGCCACTGATGCTTCGCGGACCCCTTGCGGATCGGTGGAGATGACGGAGGACCACGTTTGTGGTGAGAGGAAGAGAAAGTATAGGTTAATTATGGTAGTGACTTAATAAATGGATATAACTAAGTGGTAGTGTGAAGTAGACATCTCTTAATGACATATACACGAGAAAACTCACTCGAAAATTGCAACGTTTCTTCTCAATCTAAGAAAAGACAACTTTAATTGCCGGACTTGACTGATGAGGCTGGGCTTCGTGGACCCCTAGAATGCCTTCGCGGACCCCAAAGGGTCCGTGGACCCCCGTTCGAGAACCACTGCCCTAGCTGAAGCGGTCGAAGCACGCCAGCGATCGGGCCACCGCAACTAACCGCAAAGCTGCTGTTAGGTGAATATTGAGTGAAGGGTTAATCTTCTACAATATTGTATAAAGAAAATAGAGACATCTGGTACACACAAGAAAGAGTAACGTTTAGTGGGGAAGTCCTCCCTCCTCTCTTCTCTTCTGCTGGCCGAAGAGATGTCAGGAGGACATCAGGTTCAAAGCATGTATAGTTCTAGACGAGACAGTTTTTCTCACTACCTGTCAAGGTTCCTAGACTGGCATTTCAAACGAGGCTTTAGCGACATCCACCAGGGGCTGTTTGCTAACCGGTTAATTTGTAGTAACATTTCTGTTCGTGCCTTTTTTAACAACATTTAGGTGTGTCCATGGATCCTGCTCCTTTGAACACTCATAAACCAAAAACTAAGCGCCGAAATTTTATTGTAGTATTCGTTTAAGCTGTCACAGTCTACAAACGGTGTACTCTTCCAAAGCACGCCGTCCCCAACATGTTGTGTTGTATATCGCGCATTGTCTTAATAAAAAAGATAGATGCGATATTAAATTAAAATATTTTCTCACGTTTCGCTAAAACTGGCCCATAAAAACTATCTGTTGAATTTACTTTCCCCGTAAATAATGACAAAGAAATAAAAAAAATACACAGCTTTCTCTTGTGCATTAAGATGTTTCGCTGTTCAAGTTTGTGTTTTATATGTAATATTATTTGTTTCTTGCTTATAATGATTGGCACCAAGGGAACGGTTACTGAGATACCCCGATATTTTTTCAGCTACGTCGCTGAATGGACGTTTCGAAGTAGACTCAAAAAAGCCGGATGGAAGCGCAGTTATGGCGCGTGACTCAGGTATGCATTTATTTGAAACCTCAATTGGTCTATTGGTTACTGATGATTAATGACGTGGGTAATAATTGTTTAACTAATGTTAAGGTGACTTTTTACGAAATATATGAACATAGAGGTATGCGGGTAATAAAAAACCTAAGAAGGATGTGTTTCTCAAGTCTTCTTGTCTTACAACATGAATTTGGGCAATAAATTCCGAGGACATTTAAGCACTTCTTATCAGTTGTAAATGCGAATGCATGAATGTCGGTCTTCGCTCCCATAGTTCGTTTGCGGTATGCATACTGGCGTAGACGGCAACGTTTCACTACTGCCGAGGTTGCGGCCGACGACCGATCACGTGCTCTCGTGAAGTGGCCGCTCCGCGCTGAGGTCGGCCGTGCAGCCTCTCCGTAGTCTGCCCGGCTGAGCTCTGCTGGCTCTGCGACCAGCCGCCCCCTCTTACCGGCGGCCGGGCCGCTGCGCCGCCCTGGAGAGGGTTTCTCTGTGGGGTGGCGTTCCTTGGAACGACGCCGCGCGGCCGCATATGGGAGCCTCGTTCCTTGAAACTATGACGCGCGCCAGCCAATGGAGGCCTATCCATCAAATCGCTGCTACAGATGATAGGCTTCGCTGCATTGGGACAGGGCAGTTTAGGCGCCGTTTGGTGCGGCTTGAAAAGCTGATAACGCCGCTTGGCTACATGGGACAGTTAAAGCTTTCGCAATAAAAGCACATAGTGGACGGCAAAACGCTCACCGGGAAAAAGTCAAGGTACGCGATGACCATATTTAATTTTTTTTCTACGAGCGGGGGCAGGAGCGGTGGCATAACCACCCGGAACAACATATCAACAGCATGCGGCTATTCTGCAGTTTCGGTCGTATAGAAGGAGATTGATACGCAGAACAAAAAACGGTATATCTACCTTCTGCAGAAATATGCTCCTTAGTTAGTTCAACCTCACAACCATCATACTTTAAGGTGGTTGACGCCTATTAAACCAGACATGACTTTCCCAATAAAAAAGGGTATTTTCATGGTCGCGTTTTCTACCGTGCACTTCGCATGACTTAAATAATTTCGCACGTTCTCTTCATTTTATGAGCAAATCGGAGCGTTGAACCCTCTACCTACTACTTCGTTGGTCAGATAAAGATAATTATGCGTACATGAGCACTCACTTAGACCTACATAGAGAGTTAGAGGCCAACAGATAGAGATGAACATGTAGAGATTTCTTCCGTTTTGTCTTTAAAACTTTCCGTCTTTATAGTGAGACCATACCGAAGCTTTGAGCGCTTATAAAATTCTAGATAGGACAATCGCAAACTGTGCTTGAGCTCAAAGGGCACAATTAAAAATTATTTTGGACATTTTTTTTTCTTGGCGCTTAAAATTCAAAGCAGATATGAATGGCCTCGATACCCCTTATATTCCATATGCAGCTGGCCGCAGAGGTGTTGGAAACAGTCGCACCGTTTCAACGAAGTTGAGAAAAAAGAAATCGGCTGGGACCTTTAGGAGAGCAGAATAAAAAATGTGCGAATACTGTTTTCATGAGGTTTCCATGTTTGTAAATTACAAGGCGACTGACGTCTTGATTTTAGGGAGCATTGCAGCGAATGAAATTTTCTTACTAACTAAAAAAGTAAATTGGCTTTTTTTTACAACAATAATATACGGCTTTAGATAAGGAATGAAATTATCTTGATTAAACTGTGCTTTCTGATATATTTAAATTTACGGTGGAGGCTTTTTCCACACTGTTTTTAGAGATCAAGCAGGTTGATGAATCAACGTGCCATGTTTAAAGCGGCCTTCAGTAGCGACAAAGCACCATCCTTGGGATGATGTGATGTAAATGCAATACATTTTTATTTAGTCTTTTAAAACATGTGTATATTTTTCTCAACCCTGTGTTAGGGTGTGCAACGGGAGCTTGTATCTTAGGGCTATCTATATAATACAATGGACATAAAAATATTTATTCACGCCGAAGGTATATATAATTGTTTCTATCTCTTCCCTGGACTAGTGGCCGCGAAACTCTTTGAGTGTATTCAAAATACAGAGATATTTTAAAATTTCATTTTAATTAAATGTATGTTATTATTTTCGCGTTTATGTTTGCATATTTATTGTTTAGTCGTGTGTATCTGAAGAGGACATTAGGGACTCTTAGTAATGAAGTTTAAACAAAATTTGGCGCCCTTACCGGTTCTTCACGTATTTATTAAATGTAAACGTGCACGAGCCCTGGTTGCTGCCGTTAAGCCAATTTCAAACTTATATTCGTTTTCAGGTACACTTTCTGCTGGAGGTTCAGCCTATCTGGAACTTTACATATATTATAGTAGACACATAAAAAAACGTCTTGGTGATAAAAAAGTGGTGTTGGAATATTTGAAACAGTTTTTAAAAAGGGTGAGTAAATTTACGCGCCCTTGCACAAGGTTAAAGAGTAACTTTCAAGATATTGTTGTGGGATGGCTAGCTGAACAAGGCCGCACCTAGAGCAGTAATACAAGTTAATTAGTTCTGGGGAATTGTTATATTTTCGGCTGCAGGCATCCAATACCTTGCTACATTCAGTTTTTTTCTGGCATCAGATTTCAGTCGACCTTTCCTGCAAGGTTAAACCAAAAATGTAATTATTGTTACGGTTCATACGTAAAGTATTTCCGTACTTTTTTCAAAGCTTCGCTTCTGAGCTTATTCAGTATTCCACGCTGGCCTTGAGCTATGCTGCACATATTTCTTGTGAGTAACACTCGCTCACCAGAGTAGCTACGTGTGCCAAATACCTATTTCAATGATCAATTAAGCATTGCGAATTTCATAATTAGCGAAGAATCTGGAAAAACTGAACTTGCAAATAAATCAATCATCAATAGACTTTATTCAAGGATAAACCTCGTTACTTTGGGTAAAAACGGAAGTTTAATCGAAATATTGCTGGAAACAGGTCATAAAATTTTAAGTGTACATTTAGGATATGAATTAATAACAAAAACATATCCCAAAACGAACTTTATGGCGAGGTCTTTTTATTTGAGAAACGTTAGCTATCCATCTTTAAGAAGTGAACGAAACTGCTTTTAGTTACATTAATGAAGTCTTACTATTTTCTCCTCTGAAAGCCGAAATTAAAGCAATATTATTGTGTAAGGCCTAGTATTGCAACAATGATAGTGCTCAAGAAATAAGCAACGCGAAAAATAATTATTTAATACTAAGGGCAAAAAAAGAAATTATGTTCGCCACGCGTGAAATGCATAGTTGCATATTTTTTTTGCAGGTTATATGAATTTTGGCGGTGCTTGAACTGACAATATATTTTTGATTTTCGGGTACCGGAATGATTGGCTCTGGAACCGCTTTATTTTTGCTCTCCACTAACCAAACTATTCCCGAAGTTTCTGCAAAAACAAGGCTGTATGCCGATGACTGCATATTCTATTGAATCGCGAAGGAGTTTAGCAATTAGCACCAGTGTAATGTAGATCTGACTTTTTGAATTAATGTAGGCCTTGTGGCAGTGTGGCACACGTGCATTACATATAAAAAAGTGTTTATGTGTCTCTAACTCACAAAATGAAGCTGCTTTATATTAAATATATTCTTAAAACTCAGATCCTTTCAGAAATGTTAGAGTGCGGGTATGTAGAGCTACGTATAACCAACCGCAGGAGCTGGAATAAGCAGTTGACTGCCTGCTAAAAGCTCCTCGTAAGATTGGCGGCATTTATAAATAAACAGGTAATTAACTAAGTAACTTGTGTTTTAAGTGTAATTTGTTGAAGAAAATATAGCCACGAATGCTTCGTTTTGTTTGTCTTTCGTGAGTGTGTTTACTTTCACATTCACTTATATTCAGGGTGTTCGCGCCACCTTCGGCCGCCATGACAAGAGAAGAGAGATACTTCTCGTTTTCCTATGTTTGTCTTGTGCTTGGGTTGGTGCGGGACGACTCTTGGTTCATTAGTTATGGCTCATTAGTTATTTAATTATCTCGAGACAAGGGACGCCGCCGACGCCTCTGAGCCTCGGTGATCGCAGCTAAGCAGACGGTGCTAGTCTACTTCGATGTACTGCCGACAGATGGCTCAACGAGATAAACTCAAGCATGTAGCACCAGGGGCGCGGCGGCGCCTCGACCAACCATCACCGTACAACGATAGGTGCCAACCGGGCAATTACAGCAAGTATAAATAGAAGCCGACACGGCGCTCTGGGAAAGAAACCTTGAACATCGAAGCAAGCTGGACAAAACACGAGACAATCGGGCCTTACAGAGACTCGCGTCGTGCCGAAGGCAGCGTGATGCAAACTTTCGGAAGAATATCTTCTAAAACCAAGACAAAAGTCGGCGACCAGTGCGGGGAAGCTCGGGACGTATCTTCGGCCCCTGGTGGACATAGGCGCCCACGCCGATGCCTTTCCGTTCAAGAATTAGTTGAAAGCGTTTAAGAACTTGTAGGTTTTAAGTCGTTCTCAGATATATAGACCAGATGGCTCGAATATGTAGTCATGAAGACGCGCCTACGAAACCTTTGGCAGGTTTGTAATTTTCTTAAAAAACAAGGGCTATTTCTTTTCACCCAAGAGGTCGGGAAGGCATGTCGGTCCCGTAAAAACAAATTTCAGGAGGTACTGCAGTTAGTGCTCGGAGGCGAGACTTTTGAAGTTTGCTCTACTGAGTGCGGGTCGTCAAAAACAAGCAAACATCATAGCCGACCGGAAGCAACATATTCCTCCCGGAAGGACTGTCAGTTTTGTTTTTGTTTACCTCCGCACGCCCTGTAAAATGTTACAGAAACTTTTTGCAAGGGTTGTCCTTTCCTTGTCTATTCAGAGCTTGTATAAAATATACACCAAATATGTCTTGCCGAGGAAGCAGTGCACATTGTTTGTTTTTTTTCGCTTGTTTTTTAACTTCCAGTTAAGCATTGCCACCGCCACCCTCCACGCCCCCAACAGGGTGGCTAACATTTCGACCTGTTTTATATTTTTTTTCTTATTACCAAATAAGCATGGCCACAGCATCATCCTATTTTGGCGTGCCATTTTATTTACTAAGAACTACGATGAAAACACTTTATGCCTCATATAGGCTGGTTATTGTACTTTTGTCGTAGTTTTAGCTTGTACCGTTCACACCCTCGCAGTGTTACACTGTTCTTAAGCACGAAATTATAGCGGGTGTATTAGGGAATATTTAAAAACAACTTCCTACCAATTGAGTGGTTGAGAAAATAATTTTCGAAAACAAACTGCCTGCCACGGTAGACATCAAGGTTGCAACAAACCAGCTAATTAGTGTAATATTTTTCTGAAATTTATTCATTACCTTTAATTAGCCAAAGTTACAATATGGTTTCAGTTTGAAACTTTCTTAGCGTCATCAAAAACTCCTAAGTCAATCAATTTAGGAAGATTTAAGTACGTATGAAAAGGGGGGGGGGGGTTTGGTGTAAACTACAGTTTTTAATGGTGCAGCAGGCACGAAGCTGGGGTTGCGAAAATCTGGTTGATATTCTTATCATCCTGGTTCTCGCGTCCCTAGCCTTGTGCCTGCAGCATGAATGGAATATTTAGCGCACTCCCACGCTTCAGACGTGGTTTAACCATTTCTAAAATGGACTTATTTAGCCATTTTCAACAACGCTTAACACGTCTTTATTGGAACATATTGCATATTTCCACTAACTAAAAGCAAATTTGTAATGTCTTTTTATAATTTGTTGCCTAATTAGTACGTTTTGTGCAATCCCGGATGTGCGCCGTGGCTGATAGTTTCTTCCCGAAATAAAGATAATACATTAATCAATAAGTGAAGATTCTGAAATTTTTAATTATTCATTCATGTATTCTTTTGACTCGAACAAAATGCTTCAGTCATGTCATCAACGTAGGTTGGATTGTTTGTTTCTAGGTAAACAAGATTCTGAAAACTGCGGAAGCAATTGTAACTGTGCAGTTCAGTCTTCTGGGAGCCAGTCAATGGAATGTAAGTTACATTTTCTCTAATTGTTTTTTAATGCAGAAACTGTTCTTAATATCTTGCTTTTGCAGGAGGATCACAGAGCTCTCACTGAAGACAGAAAAGCCCTAGATGCCGAACTTTTGATTGCGATACTTAAGGTGTACGGGAAGAGGCTTGCGACACGGCTGCACAAGGAAAAGCACAGAAATATAGATGCTGTCTTGTTTCTTACCACGTAAGTTGTGATTTTGTTTCAACTGGCAGCAAAATAAGGCGATGCAGTAATACTACAACACAGTAAAATAATCACTTCTACTTTTACGTTATGCACTGCACTAGATGTTATTCTCTGTAAAAGCCAAAATTCTGCCCAGATTCTTTCTTGCTATCATGGCCAAAACATTTTGGGAGTTAAATGGGCTCCTCAAATTCCTCCATAGGAAGGTGTGGCAAGTTTAACGTGTATTTCTTAAGTCAATGAAAATTAAATCAGTAGTGTATATCAGTCGCGATTATAATGCAATTAAATGCAAAGGTGCAAGCGAACTGGACAAGAATGACGAAAATAATCCCCGGAGAAGGGGAACATGAGGAACAAAAGACAAACACAAACCACCAAACACAGCGTTGACTCCTTTTTGGCAAACCACCCCAGACTATCATCGTCTATTTTGGCTTGAGCAAAATGCTCGACAGTGTGCTCGACCACTCTGTAAATTGCGAGTATATTAGATATGCGTGTCATCACTTTATTGGTTTTACGTTATAAGATTTATTAACAAAGTATATATTAGCAGATGTTCTTTAGGCACTTCTAAACTGATAGTTGCAACAAGAATCTCGTGGGAGAGTTAATAATTTCGATCTACGGCGAATGTTCGACGGATTGCAATTCAGAAAAAAGCGTTTCATATAAAAAATTACTTTTGCTCTGCATGACTAAACCATGTGATACGTCATGCAGTACCACAGAGCAGACTACATTTATTACGACTAAATATATTTTCAGCTCTGGTAATTGACAAGCTCTATTTATATATTGTAGTGATTGGCTCTCTTGAAAGTACAGTGGGAGGGTAGATACAAGCAGAGATGGCAAAATTACTTTCAAGAATAATTAAATTACATTACTAATTACTTTTTGAAAACTGCAAAAATGTAATAAATTACATTATAAATTACCGCGAACTGAAGGTAATGACATTACATTACAATTACTTCCCGAAAGTAATGAAATTACTTTGAAATTACTTTGACACTACTTTTGAATACCTTGAGGCAGTAATTCGCGCTCATTTTATTTACCATATACAGAAACACAGTGTTTACAACACAAGTCCTCGCACCAAAACTCAGATCTTCCTGTTTAGACCGCAACAACTTTATGTGCCTCAAAGTGAACCATACTGAACAATGGTTTTGCTGGCGCACCCGACATAGGTGTTAAACATGATTAATAGCTTCTTTAGATGTTACTCAGAAAGACAGACGACTCACCGGTTCCGGTGTTCATTCAACGGTGTAGGTTCTTACTGAAAGAGTGATATGTTTCTGTCTTCCTGATTTAAAGTTGTAGTCCGTGTCAGTTTGTTAAGTCGGGGGACGACAACTCGTTCTTACAAGAAGCCGTCACGTGAAACGTTTCACTTCCGCCTCGGACGCAATCTGATTCTATTCTCCCGAGAGCACTATATCCGGCGATAAATTTTCTTGGCAATGCAGTGGAGAGAAGGAGAGCTCGCCCACAGCTTTATTCAGCGCTCAAAATGGGAGAGGGTACGCGTGCCTGTACCCTCTACTGCGTTGCCAAGAACAGGTTGACACCGATTATAGTTGACCTATTCTGGGTCATTCCTTTAAAGGAGCATTTATCCGAAACACCCGAAGAGTCCAAGCTTTTGAGCATTGTCTTGTAAAGCAAAAGCGTCGCCAATTGGGGAATGACGCGAACTTCCTAAATTGTGTACTTTCCCAACAAAGGGCGGCGATATCTGCGTGTAGGCTTATTCCCGAACGGACTTCCCAAGGGAAGCCCGCGAGGGATACCGCGAGCGGCACTGCTTTGCTCGAGGACGCACGAAACGTTCTGGGGCTTTGACAAGGCATTTGGAATTAACAATTTATTCCGGTCGTTTGTTGTTCACAATGGTCGAAGCTTACGGTTTGACCTCGCTTCACGAAAGTACAAGGCTGGGGATCTGTTTGTCTTGTCCTCTCAGGTTGCAAATTATCTTTAACTCACTGGTGATGCGCCCGTCGCCTTGTAGCCTATGAGCCGTTCATCCCTGAGCTGACGGACTGTCAGCTTAGGAATGAACGGTGGAAGCTACGTGTTTCTTGGAGCAGTCACACGTCTATCGTTCGCCACGTAACCACGCTCTCGTTCATGCCCACGCGCAGAGAAAGGAACGGGACACGTAATTAAAAAAGTTGTTTCGTTGGTTCTGGTTAGCTTGCATCTCCCCAGCACTGTCAGCTTAGGGAGGAAGGAAGTATAGCATCCCTTACAGAAATGTCATATCTGGACTTATATTAAAAAATACAGATATGGATATATAAGGAATTGGGCAGATATGGCCAGATATGCGTAGTGAGGCCATATCTGGACTGATAAAGCCATATCTGCCCAATTCCTTATATGCCCATATCTGCCCAATTCCTTATATACCCATATCTGCCCAATTCCTTATATACAATATATGGACTGCTTTATATGATCCCGTGTTTGGGCCTGGCAAATAGGGTATCCACCCCATATATAGCAATTTTCATGCGATGCTCCTTCTAGAATCACATGAAAATTATTTTCAAGGGGTAGGTACCCTATTTTCCAGGTCCAGACATGGGATCATATAATGCATTTCTATGAATATCCACATAATATACATTTTACTGCTATCCCACACTGCCAAACGTGTGTTTACGTATAGATATAGCTACAGAATAGGCCACTGACCAATCTCTATCGGTCTGGTTTGGAATCTGTCATTCCGACAAATATGTATGCTACAAATATAGAATGCCGGCGATCGCTAGCTCGGAAACATTGTAACATATCATTCGACGTCGGAAAGTAAACAGCCCTTTGGCGGGATTGGTTGTCGAGGGAGCAGACCGAGAATATTGTTTGCAAAAAGGTTTATTTTTAAAAGTGCCAAAACTCTAAACAAGTACTTCCCCCATTCAAGAAAAAATGATAAGAAACAAAACTGTAACATAGCACGGACAAACATTAAAATAGACTAAAAATGTAATAGCACAAAGACACCTATTAAAATAAAACAAACGGAAGGCAACAATTAAGCTGTAAACTATACGAAAGTTTCAAAGTCCTTGATTCCTACCCACAGAGTCACAGTCCTCATTCAACTCTCCGGTCGAGCACAGCAGTTTTGACAAGGGCTAGCATGCTAGCCTCGTCGTTGTAGTCCTTCCTTGCACCGTGTAATGTTCAAAGGCCCCAGTCGTCGTGATGACGCGACGCCGCGAATCTGTCGTGCCTGGAGTTTGTAAGCCGTTGCCTTCCAGCGATGTCTACATGCAAGCTTTTCTCTTTCGCCTTTCCAGCCCTCCTTTTTGCGGCTGTCCAGCTCTTCGTACAAGGCTTTGCGCTCAGGTGGCCGTCGATTATTTTCTCTGGTGCTCTTTCACAACATTTCACCATGCAAAATAATTTTTCTCGTCTTTTTTAAAGCTTGCGAACTAATTTTCAGATTTAGGACAAAAGCAATTTCAAAAGTAATGAGAATTTTTTTTTAATTACTGCCTGAAAGTAAATCATTACATTACTAAATTACTAGCGTAAAACAGTAATTCATTACATTACTAATTACTCCAAAAAGTAATTTAATTGCTGTAATTCCATTACTGTAATCTCATTACTGCCATCTCTGGATACAAGGAATGTTTCAGAATGCATTCCTTACAAATATTTGCTATATGTTCCTTAGGATTAGGTCATATAAGAGCTCCGATTGTATAGTACCGTGAAAGTCGTGTATTTGCTCATATGAAGTTTCTATTTTCTTCGGCTAGTTGCCGACATCATTATACCTATAGTATAAGCCTGAACGGTTTTATAGTTTGTTTTATTAATTAATATAACATGTATGAAATATTTATTATTCTGCCTCCCAGAAAAATATACTCTCTTCTCTGGAATGGAGGGGTGGGCGAATATTCGAAACTTCGAATACGGATCGAATATTATACATTTAATATTCGTATTCGATTCGTGAACTAAGTCTTCGGTATTTTTGGAATATTCGTCGTAACACGAACATTCGAAATTAATCGAATATTCGAGAACGTATTCGCAAGCGTAAGTTTTGCTTTCGGCTTCTGTTTCGGTAAGTAAGGCCCATTAACAGCGACATAGTGCATGGTGGCTTAAACCTAAACTGGTGGCGCCGGTGTCGGTAGCGGTAATCTGTGAGTTTCTGTACCCTTGGGACTCCTGACTTTTTAAACTGCTCACTTTCGCTTTCGCCCACCCGTGTTATGACGGATGGAAGTGTTTGAGGAGAACCATCTGCGAAGCGGAGAAAAGAACGGGAAACGGCTCCAAAACGATGAGAGAGGAGCGATATTTCTAATTATTTTGCGAGGATGACGACTTCGATGGCGCAATGTACGGCATGTGACTCAACGCTTAAAGCGCCCACAGGGACGACAAGGCATCTTGCCAACCGTCCCAGAGTACATCCTGCGTTGTTGAAAGAATGTCTTAAGATTACCACTGGTACGCCAGGAAAAGATCAACCAATGCTGACGGACTTCCTGCACCGCATGGAGCCCCTGCCAGAACAGAGGGTTCGAGCGCTAAATAACAAGGTGGCCGCCATGGTGGCCGCCATGGTGGCGCTTGATTTACAGCCTTACAGCACTGTGGAAGACCGCGGCTTCAAAAAACTTCTGACAAAAGCCGTTCCCAACCATCGTCTTACCATCCCGATCTACACTCTCGCGCGTGCTGGTGTTACGGATGAATGACGACACCCGAAACAAGGCGAAAGCAGAGCTCAACAGCGCCTTTGAAGGCGGCGCTGCCGCTGTTGCCTTCACAAGCGACATGCCGACATCGCGCGCTAACGAAACCTACGTGAGCTTCACCTTCCACCTTCTGCACTCCAAAATTCATGATGAAGCGGGTCACATTGAACACTCTAGACATGGCTGCAAGTCGCAGTTCAGTGAACATTGTCACCATGCTGTACAAAATGTGCCGTGACTGGG